TCATTTACTCCTCAGAAGTTGTAACACATTTTTTTAAATAAGTGTCTTAAAATAATACCTCATATGGTTTTCAAAATAATGAAATGACAATGTATATGTGAACGTGCCTAGCATACTACTTGGCACAGAATAGCTGCTCAATAGATATTATATCTATTTTTATTATTTTATTTTCAGAATATAGAGCTCAAGTACATTTCTGCAATGTTGGTATAAAGACATATTTGGATATTTGTTGCTTGAAAAAGATAAAATTAGCTACTTCTACCTTGTGATTAGAAGTATGGATTAATGACAAAATTCTCATAAAACATTTGGAGCTTAGAGATAAAACTCACCATGAAATTGATGAAATTCTTTATTCTATTGTAGCTAACATCGTTAAACTTTTACAGTGATAAGCTATAGGCTTATTAAATTATAGAGTTATTAAATCTTGAAAATTCCATGTGATTGTGATTTATAGACGAGATCCCTGAGGGTCAGCGCGGTTAAGATATTTTCCCAGGGTTACATAGCAAGTAAATCACTGAGCCAGAACTCAAACCCAAATCTTTTGACTTCAAACCAGTGCTCTTTCTTTCACAGCACAAATTCATGGGCTTTTAAGAGGAAACACAGTGCATAAGCTTGAGCTTGTTCATCATATAAATATTTATGCGTATTAATAATATTTCATTGGCAGTGAAATTGTATGCTTTAACAAGTCAAGTCATCAATGGCGAGATGCAGTTCTATGCCAGAGCTAAACTTTTCTACCAAGAAGTACCAGCCACAGAAGAGGGCATGATGGGAAATTTCATTGAACTGTCCAGCCCAGATATCCAGGCCTCTCGGGAATTTCTCAGGAAATTTGTTGGGGTGAGTAATACTACCAACTGTAGCTTGATGAGAAGGCAAAATCCTTGCAAACATTGAGCTCACAAGCCTCTGTGTTGTCACTTGTCAGGTTAAACTTATACAGCTCAGCAGACAGTTCAGCCTAAAAGCCTATCTTAAGATGTTCAAAAAGGGTGGACCACATCAAACCATTGGTTTATCCCACTTGGCAGTTCACCCTCCTAGCACCAGCTAACTTTACATGCTTCAGGGGAAGGTGAACTAGCAGTGCTGATAATGCAATTTGTGAATTAAGAAGACATCTCTTTTAGAGCCTCATAAATAAACAGTTGACACCCAGATGATTGATGAGAGATCATGCCCTTTGGGATCTTGAGTTGACTTATTGATTCACTGTAATAAAAATTAAACGTAGTAAGGAAATGCATGCTTATGTTCAGTTTAAAAATAATGACAGTAGAATCCCTTCATATTATTTTATGCATGGTTAAGATTTTGCCTTGAAAGAATGTTATCCCTTTGTAGTCCTGGTTTTGGGTGAACTCAGGCTTTCTTACTTTTGTGTCATGTGGAGACAGAAAGCATAGTGTAGGGGCCAAAATGTTGGGCTCTAAAGTCATCATGGGTTCTTCTGCTTAATGTATAAGCAACCTTGGGCTTATTAGTTAAATGCACTAAGCCTCAGTTTTCTCACCTGTGATGAGGGCATGACACCAGAAGCTGTCTCAGAGGATACGAAGGTCAAATAAGGTAATGTATGTCACGTATCTGTTTTAGAGCACAAAATTAGTACCCAACAAATCTAATTTATGCTACTACTAATAACAGGCTTTCATATAGTATATTCATTATGTTTTAAGAAACTTCATTTCATTTTGAGACCAGATTTAACCCCCGCAGCTTTATTAGCTGCTGTTGGTCCTACCAAAGACACAAAGTTTTGTTCCAATTCATTATGAAGTCATTTGTTTGAAATTTGGAGCCCATTTTATGCTGATAAAGGACACATTATAAACACTAGGCTGTGGGATTAGTCCATCAACCTATTTAGCAGCATAATAGTAAGGATATTGCTAGTGTTGAGGTGTGGTTCACTTTATAGCCAACCTCCCTGGAGCACCTGGTGTCTGAGTCCAGAGGTGGCAGTAGAGAAAATGTGGTCGGGATGGGATATCTACTAGGGCTGAAGTGTCTGGACGTCAGCTGCAGCCATAAAGAACCAGGGAGTCTAGGGATAACATCCGTGTGTGTTTACAGGTCAGGTTAACCTGAAGTATTTTTAAATCAGTATTGCTGACTGATTTCATTGAGTGCTTATTCTGAGATGGTCAGTTACTCTGCTAAGCACTTTAGAAACATTGTCTCATCACAACAATTCTTGGAGGTAAATGCTATTATTAGCTCTGTTTTTACAGTTGTGGAAACTGAGGCTTGGAAAGGTTAAGTAAGTTGTCAAGGTTACACAGCTGGTAAGAGTCAGAGCTGGGAGTTAAGCCCAGCCAGGTCTATCTGACACCAAACTCCCTGCTCTTAACCATGACATCTTTTTTCCATTTGTCTCATGAAGCTGAAAAAAAAATCCCTGCTTTTTTTTTTTCCCTTTCCTTTTTGGTGGACCATAGATCTCAACCCTCCTCCAGTCTGACCCAAAGCAATCCCTCCTGCTTGCCTCGTGGTGAGGCCGACTTTGATCCCGAAGCATTTCAGAAGCTTAGTTAGTAATCCAGCTGTCTTGTCACTCCATGTGGAATGCCAAGCTGACCACAGGGATGCTGCTCAGACAGAGCCCATAAGCACGCCCACAGACCTGGGAAAGGAAACAGCCTTGTGCTTGCATATTTGTGTTGGAAAAGAGGCAGCCTGCTCCTTTCAAACAAATATAAGGAGTCCTTCTTAGTAGACAAGGCTCGTTGTAAAGCCGTGAACTCTAAGTACAAACATGGTCCTTTTTAAGGGATGATATTTTGATACTTTGACCTTAATACTATAATCTACAAAATTAGCATTCAGGTCAAGATACAAGGAGTTAGGGAATATGAGTATCTGACATGATTTATTCTTATGTCAACTGAGAAAAGGCAGATTGTTTAATTTCAAGTTTTGCTTTCCTTTCAACACTTAGTGACATGGGACAGTGGGAAAAGGCGTTGACACTAGTTGCAAATGTGATATGAAGATGATGTCAAGGGTAGCTCATAACGTTTCTCAGTTTTAGCTTTCTAGTGGGGGAAGTAGTAATTAATAAAAAGTAATCAGTCTTTTTTTCAAGTGATCAGTATTTGATGGTATTTATTTTTTGACATTTTTCAGGGATTGGACAACTAAAAAATCTGGGTCTAACATTATATTTCATAGTTTTTATACAGTGGCATGAAGTGCTTTCATTTTAATTTTTAACTATACTGAATAAACTTAATGTTCTTCTAAACAAAATACAGAGGCAGAAGTAAAACTAAAATGAAATTCCTAATAGTATTTTACATGAATGCATATGAATTTATATGAATATACAAATATGAAAATAGCATAATAAATGAAAATAACAAAAGTCTTGTTTTGAAATCACACCTCATATGTAGTTCTAGTCACATTCTTGTAAGGGCATCAGATTTCACAGCTTCAGGCAACCATGGTGTCCAAGAGGCAAGATATGTCCCTGAGATCAGTCTTTAAATATCCCTTCTGAGAGGAGCTGCATGTGAATGAGAAGAACCTGGGGGCCAAGATACAGGAGGCAGTGCCAACTATGTAGAATGAAATGGGATAAAGAGAACTCGATAATAGTGGGGAGAGGCACACAGGATTTGAGTGAGAGGCACCATTTTTGTGTTTTTAAATATCAATAGTTTCAAGAATAACTATAATCAAATACCACACATCAACATTAGTGAAAAATACTAATCAGAGGATGAGAGTTTTCAAGAAAGTTCTATTTCAAACATTTTACCTCCCTGAACCTCAGTTTCTTTGTCTGAAAAAGCAGGAGAATTAGACATTAGTGATTTAAAAACTCTAGGATTTTGCCAGGATTCTCAAGGTCTTCCTTGGAGAGAGATGGGAAGGTTGAGTGGGTGAGGCTCTGCCTCACTTTAACCAGAGCAGCTTCGTGTTGATCTATTCATTGAGAAAAAGGAGTTCAGCTGCTACAAACCTCTTGAAATCTGCTGTCATATGTCTCTAAGGTCTCTTTGCTTTATTGTCTGATGGTTCCACTTCTAAAACAACTTGCTACACCAAATAGAGCAAGATGACCAATAGAGGCTTTTAGGGCCTCTATTGCTTTAGGGCCAAGTAATAATAAGAAATAATAATCTCTTATTGAGCATATAAATTTGTAGTAAAATCATTTTTTGGCTTAAAATAACTTCTTTATACTTTCCCATATCTCCTTTATGTCATGAATTTACTTAGAAGATGCTTCTTTTTTAGCATTCATGACAAACTTTTAGCCTAGGCATTTTCCTGAATTAATTTAGTTTAAATTATAATATTTGAATGTGGGAGGTGGTATAGTATAAGTAGAAATGGCAAACACATGGCAATCAATGTACCACCATGTCCCATTCCTATACTCAAGGCAGACATTACCAATCAATCACAGATCTGTTTCTTGCTGAATCTGAATGAAGCCTTATAAATTCTTTTTAACATAGCATTAGACAGACTACCAAGAGAATAAGAGTTGTCACTTGAGTTGACATCCCTAATGTAGAACTGGCTTTGGATTCTGACAGTTCCTGTTCAAATTCTAGTTCTGCCATTAGCTATATAATATTAGAAATCTGAGTTTTCTCATCTCCAAAATGGGGATGATAATCATTACCTTGTGGATTTTTTTGATTATTATAATTATTATAGATGTAAAGAGCTTGCTACATATAAGCACTCAACAATTATGGTTATTATTATTCCATTTGAAAAGAACTTATAATTGCTTCACTTTTTGTTCTTCATTGTATTTTTCTAGCATAAGGAAGGCTTTTTGGGTGGACTAGAAAGTCGCTTTTTTGATGTTTCCCTTGCTCATACTTCACCTTTGATCTTTAGCCAAATGTTTTTTTATTCTTAGTTCCTGAGAAATCAATAGTAGGCTTTCTCCTTAAGATCTTGATTGGCAACTTCAAGTATCTTGTTACTGTAATTTCTAGCACGAAACCTATTCAGCAGCCACCACAATTATGACCAAATAATTTAGACCAGCTGAATCTTCATAAATCAGAAACTTTAAAAATTTTATAGAAGCAAGCTTGAGAAAGTTTGCATTGGTTGATTTCTCCCTGCCCCTACCACCTTCCCATCATCCCCTCACCTCCAGTTAATTTAATGCACAGACCTACTTAAAAAGCAGTTTTCAGAGTTTCATGCCCAGTAAATCATGTAATTTCTGGTTAAAAAAAACAGAAAATGACTTTTAGCATTAAAGGAGACAAGGAAACTTTGCTGAAACTACCCTTTATTCACATGAACATTCTGTGTGCCATCAGGGCTGGATTTGAAATAAAATCCTGGCTCAAAAATGAACAATTAGCATTCTTCAGCTCAGGTCCCAAAATTTACCATTCACACAAGAGGAATAGGTAATTCAGAGCCCTTAAAATCAGTTTAGAAGAATAAAATTTCACTTATCCCAATACGAATTCAAATGTTTCCGTTGAATAAATTTTTAAAGTAATTTTAAAATTTAGAAAGGCTCTCACTGCTTGGTTCTCCTCCCCCTCCTTCTCCTTCTCTTCTCCTTTTCCTTCTCCTTCATAATAACCTACCGTACGGATCCATTTAGCTGTGGATTTGAACCAAATTTACAATCATCAAAGTTCTATCTTCATAGGGCTATAAATAGCTCATTGCTTGGCGAAAATTACTAAGTGTCTAAACCTAAGATATTATTTTTTTAATCTTAGTTTACAATTATTTTAAAGACCCATATTTGGATAAAATAAAGAAAGCAGAACTAGAAATGTTTGGATATTTTTTGGAAAAAGGTAATCGATGTCTTGATTGTGGTAGTGGGTACATGACTGAATACATTCGTCCAAACTCATTGAATTGTACCATTAAAATGGTACATTTTATTGTGTAAAAGTCACCTAAATAAAGCTGATTTAAAGAGGTAATTGGAGTGTCCAAGACTCCGAGTTGGTCTCTGTACTTGAAGTGTCAAGGTACCTTTCTGCAGGGCTCCGGGAGAGCTGGAACAGACTGCGCCTTGGATTGCGGCTCTGGGATAGGAAGGGTGAGCAAGCATGTCTTGTTGCCGGTTTTCAACAGCGTGGAACTCGTGGACATGATGGAATCTTTCCTCCTCGAAGCCCAGAACTACCTGCAGGTTGCAGGGCACAAGGTAGAGAGCTACCACTGCTACAGCCTGCAGGAATTCACACCTCCCTTCGGGAGATATGATGTCATCTGGATTCAGTGGGTCTCCGGTTAGTCCTGTGTGGCCTTGTCTCTGCCCTTCTCCCCTTCTCAGCTAGAGAAGATTACGTTTGGGCCTAATGTGGACACAGGAAAGATTTAGCTATAGCTGTGGTTACAGCAGTTAGCTAGCCTTCGGTGTCATGTGAACTCCCAAACGGCCCTGATCCTCCAGATTTCTCCTCGAACATTCTCTGTACCAGAAATTTACATTTCTTCGAGGATTTAGGTTGCTCCAAAGGCACTTGCTCCACCAACCTAAATCCTTGAAGAAATGTAAATACTTGAAAAAATTTTAAAAGTGGGGCCAAAAAAGGTTAATCTACATTTATTGGCAGAATTCTTAGATTTAAATCCCCAGGAAATGAGACAATGGTGAATTAGATTTTGATGAGTGTGTGTGTGTGTGTGTGTGTGTGTGTGTGTGTGTGTGTAGGAGACCTGAAAAAGTGGTAACAGAGGGATTCTTCAGGGGACATGGAGAGACTCATGGGGCAGACAAATAATTTATCTCATGCCTGTGCAGTAGATAGGCAATATGATATCTACTTTACAGACAGGGGACTGAGCCTCCTCAAAGAGGATATGTGTCCTCTCTTCTAAATTTTCAAAGCTTCCTGCAGCCAAAACAAGGCTATTAAGTAATTCAAGAATGAATGAACCATGGGTCTCCTGATTCTTAGCTCTGTGTTCTTTCCTACTCACCTGTCTCCCTACCCACCGTGTCATCCTGTTCCCCCATCCACTTGGCCCCACCTGTAGGGTACCTGACTGACAAGGACCTTCTCGCATTTCTTTCCCGGTGCCGAGATGGCTTGAAAGAAAACGGCGTCATCATTCTGAAGGACAATGTGGCGCGGGAGGGCTGTGTCTTCGATCTCTCTGACAGCAGCGTGACTCGGGACATGGACATCCTCCGAAGCCTCATTAGGAAGAGTGGGCTGGTGGTGCTGGGCCAGGAGAAGCAGGAGGGCTTTCCAGAGCAGTGCATCCCGGTGTGGATGTTCGCGCTGCACCACAATGGACACTCCTGAAGAGCGGTGGCAATGAATGACGGACCGGACAGTGGTGCTTTGCGATCTGGCGCGCTCCCTCCAGGTGCCCCTTGTAATGCAGACAGGGATGGAGAGAAGGGATCTAATGAATGTCTGCAAATGACTGACGATATAGTTATGTACGAGTTTTCACTATCGATGTAATGCACACACTCTAATGAGACAGGCACATGCTCTACGGATTTCCTGAAAAAAGATGGCATAAAACATCACAAAAGTGCTTTAAGAAACTACTTGTATATTCCTAAACTATGCAAGTGTGCGTGAAAAGAGAAGACATAAAAGATAGCTGGCCTGTATCCCTATTTGTAAAAATTGTCTTTCTGAATATCCTAGGCAAAAATGTTTTTTTCACCACAAGATGAAACTGGCATTCTCTGAAGCAAGGAAAACGAATCCTTTAGCTTTTAGAGTGGTTCAAATAAAACATTTGTTCACTAAAAAAAAATGAAAAAAAGGAAAAAAGAAAAAAAAAAAGAAAAAGAAAACAATGGCCACAAATTCTAAACTCTCCTGGTCTCTCATGACTGGTGTCATAGAGTAGCCCAAGGTGTGTGGGAGAAAATCTAGACTCCTTTCCCCTCCTCCTATCAGCTATGTTATACTTCCTTTCTCTTTGGTACTACTACTTCTCTTGAACAAACATCTCCCTCTGATTAAGAGGACACTAGTCAAAATAATCTTACGAAAACAAGTCCATTATTTAATTTTGTCTTTAGCTGTTCTCTTGGCAGAAAAAGTACATGGTTTCACTTTCTATTTTGGGTCAGTTTCACTACCCAATGATGTAATATGGATGTAATTCGATAACAGAAGTCTGCATTACAATGATGGAGAAGCGTCTCCTTTCAGGAGAAAATGTTGTACCCTGAAATTTCAGCCTTGAACATATAAGTAAATGTCATTGATAATCTAATTTTAGCCATTGGCTTCCAACACTGCTTGCTTCATTGCAGCTGCTCTTGGTGCCTTGATTGAAACGAATGTGCATTGGAGAGAGAAGCAGCTATGGAAATGGACAAGGAAATGATAAACCTGAAAATTGAACCAGCTGGATTAATATAAGGCATTGTTTTAATTAAAAATAATCTTAAATCTTTTGAAAAGAAAAATGTAATTCAATTTTTGTTAGAGTGTTTAAATGTAACTGCTATTGTCTTTAGAACACTTCAGTATCTTCATGTTGTAGCACATATTTGTGTTTTGATATATATTGAGTCTTCTGGGAAATGCAAAGAATCAATTTAAGTAAAGAAGATCTACTGCATGGATATGCTATCACCATAAACATCATATTATCAAGTCAGAGCTCTGACTTAAGAGGTGACCAATTATCATAAAACATTTAACACCTTTTCGTATCTTTACCTGGGTAGTTTCATTTAGGTGTGCTGGAAAATTATGTCACTTACTTTGACCTTGGTACCTTCTAGCTGTTGTATGTTACTTACTGCGCTCCGCGTTAACATAACAGAATGTCAGTCAGAACCTGTGGAGAGCGAGCCTGAGACCAGAACTAAATCCAATGGTGAATCATTACCAAACAGACCAAGGTGGCACAAAACAAGGGTATTTAGGTTTTAGTCCTTTGTGAGTGTTAGAGCAAAGTAGCAGAATCTTCTTTTTAGGCCCATCCCAGGAATTTTCTATTTCTTTTACACAAGCACCCTTACTTAATTCGCTTACCTCTTGACTTTCTGCTTTGCCAATACTCAGAAGCTGATTGACACGGTTGTCAATTTTCTCTGCTCCTGGGATTCTGAGTTTACGGAGGAAATAACGTAATTGTCCTGCAGATACTGATATGTGATCTTCAACTCAGCTGGGTCTTCGAGGTGGATCATTAGTCCCTTTTCTCTTCCTAAGACAAGTCATTTGCCATTCTCCTTAGAAATTTTTCAGATCTTTATTGCTCTGCACAATTTCCCAACTTCATATCTATTCTTAATTTAATGGAGAAAGTAGAAATTGGGAGTGAATTATATCAACATCCCCCTCTGTACTGTTAATAATAGGTACAAGGTAAAGAGATGAGTGCTTGAGAGGAATTAGAGCCAGATCATGCAGCCTAATAGGTTAAGCTGTGGACCTGTTATTCAAAGAACAAGCAGATGTTCCCGGAAGGGTGCAAGCAAGGAACTGATTGATTTTTCTGGTCCTGGGAATAAAGTCATAGATACTGTGGAAGGAAGACATTTAGAGTGAGACTTAATCTATCCCTCTTCAATCTAATTGAGTAAACCAGCTGTCCCCGACCTTTTTGGCACCAGAGACTGGTTTCATGGAAGACAATTTTTCCGCGGGGCAGGGGATGGGGAGTGGTGTGAGGTGGGGCATTGTTTCAGGATGATTCAAGCACATTACATTTATTGTGCACTTTATTTCTACTATTGTTACATTGTAATATATAATGAAATAATTATACAGCTCACCATAATGCAGAATCTAATGCCGGTGCTGATCTAACAGGAGGTGGAGCTCAGGCGGTGATGTGGGGATGGGGAGTGGTTGTAAATACGGATGAAGCTTTGCCCGCTGGGCTCACCTGCCACTCACCTCCTGCCATGCGGCCCGGTTCCTAACAGGCCGCTGACTGCTATGGTCCATGGGCGGACCGGGGATTGGGGCCTGCAGGAGTAAACCAAACACACTGCTCGTGTTTATCAACACATCCGGAAGCTAGTGGGGTAAGTGACAGCTACATTATTTCCCAAGTACTGATCCATAGTCCAGCTGCCTCAGAATCATTTGGGGAGGCTCATAGAAATTCCAAGGCCCCATTCCCATGAGAATATGGTTCTGTGAAGTAGGGTCAGAAAATCTGTATTTCTTTTATAAGATCTCAAACTGATTCTGATCACCAGTTTTGTGTGAGGACGCTGATAGGGCAAGCAGGGTGGAGCTGGGCTCTTCAGAAGCACAGAAAGACAAGGGAGGGCCAGCTTCTGGGAAACAGCGGGATGCTGAAATCCATTCTCCACATCGATGCCAGTCTTTCTAAAATATAAATCTGACCGCGTCATGTATAAACCTTCAATGACTCCCCATCACCTACAGGATGAATTCTCATCTCCTCGGCGTGGCATAAAAAGCCTTTCGTGATCTGGCCCTAGCTTTGCTCTCCAGCCTGTTTTACCACATTCCTGCAGCTGCGCTTTACTTGTTGTACCCTGAAGTCGCCATGATTTATGGCTCAGGGCATTTATAGATGTTACTTCCTTAGCATAGAATATTTTTCATTCTTTCTTGTCTGGCCCAGACTGCTTAGATGCGGCTGATTCTGGGAAAGCTTTCCTCCTGTCCAGGTGCAGGGCAAGCATCCCATTCTCTGCTATCCCTACTTGCCGTATCGCAGCACTTACTGTGAGTCATCGTGATCACCTGCGTACTCGCCACTTCCTCTGTTAACTTCTGAGCTCCTTGGTGGAGTATCATGATTACAGTCTCAGTCTCTGTTATAGGCCCCAAGATACTGCTGGACTCAAAACATTTGTTGAAAGAATGCAAGTTGATATCAAAAGTAGAAAGACTCAGGGGGCAATCTTGATTTCTGGAGGCATCAAACAGGAATTAGAGCAAATCAGCAGGAAGAACTCAGGGCCTTTAATGTTCCATGAGCACTGAGATGTAGAAGACTGGTCAAAACAGTGATCAAACAATGCAAGTGGCAAGAACCAGGAAATGCACAGAAACAAGAAGGCAGTGAACTTCGGGGTCAGGCAAACATCTATCTGGGAGGAGATTTTAGCAAGAAGATTAGGCCCTGTGGTAAAATCCTGCCTAGTTAGGAAATCTCTCTTTTTTTAATAGGTGTCAAAACCCGAGTTTAGGGGAAACCTGAAGTTGATGGTTTCACTAGGCGAGTGTGTGTACTTGAGAAGAGATATGTGAAAATTGTGACCAGGTTGTAGCAAAGCAACTCCTTATCTTCACCCATTTCCTGTTGAGCAAGAGGTCAGAAGAAAGTAGGTGGGTTATAGATGAGGCTAATCCTCCTGTGAATGTTGAGTAGAAGGTTCTCACCTGACTTCGTAGCTGAATTAGTTAATTAGTTAAACATGCCTGCAATCCCGGATGAACTTTGGAGGACCCCTTCGTTTGTACCGTGATTCACGAATGGGTGCAATTTTCACCTACCTCCTCTTCCGAGAACCTGAGCCACTGCTCCTAAGCAATAGCATAGAAGCAGGCAAAGTCTTAAGGGCTCAGCAATTTTATAGGCTTGGGACCATCATAAAGATATTAAACAAAATGAATAAGGTCATCCCCGTGAAAGATGATCCGCTTTGTATTATAGACACATTTTGGCCCCATCTTGTTTTGTATTTTTTTTTCCTTTTTCCACGATTTCCTGTAACTGGACTGTTTTGAGTGATGTATTGGGGAGAAGGCCTGTGTCAGATATATTCAGCTGCCTGTCACGAGTAATTAAAACCAGTTGTGTTATTGCTTTCCTTAGTTCCAGCTGACTCTTTGATGCTTTGGTGTCCATGCCAAAAACTACCTCTCATAATCGTCAGAGGCTAGTGTTTGGCAGAGGTCACTGGAAGATAATTAAGCAAATATGTGAGAAATAGTTTTAAATTGTCTCTATTAGCAGAGAGTGTGCATACATGTATTTAGAGTGGGGGTTGAGAAGAGACTTTTTAAACAATAACTGACCTTCAGAGCTAGTGATTTGCTGTCAGAGAACTAGGTGTTTACAGCAACTTTGTACATTTATTAAGTTGGCATGATTTGACCTTTTGCTGCAAGACAGACACTGTATCAGTTTCTGCAAATAAACATATAGATAATGTCTGAGAAGATCGTGGCTCAGTAGTGGACAGACAGATACATTAACAATAATAATAATTCAGGATGAAAAGGATATAAAGAGTGGTTCATGCAAAGATTTGAAATAATTTAGAGAAAAGAGTAACTCACACCATTTCTGGGATTTGAGAGCGGCTACACATATTCATTCATTCAACACCTATTTGTTGAATGCCTACTATGTGCCAGGCACTG